GACCCCGCGCCTTGCGGCCTGCCGCGCCCTCCTCGGCCACCGCCTCCCTGTCTGCGCCCGCCTCAGCCTCCGCCTCCGCCTCAGGCGTTCGCTCCGCCATCCCCCCCCTCCTTGGTTACCAGCCTCCCCCGTTGTTAGGAGCCCGGCCGGAAGTGGCGCGCATCTTCCGCGCCGCCGGGAGATTTCTCCAGGACTCTCTCTGCCCCGCAGCGCCGAAGGGAGACGGCGGAAAATGCGCATGCGTGCAGCAAGAACGTGCGACGACCTAATCTCGTTCTTTCACTGTTAAACTTTCTGACTTAATAGAGATGGAGGGAGGAGCTGAAGGTTTGAGGGCTGCCCTGGTAAGAAAGAGGCAGATGAACCCGTAGACCTTGCGGGTGGGGGCTTCTCCTTCTGCGCCTTGACCCTGAGTTTATGCTGGGGATAGGGTGGGAGTTGTCAGGTGAAGGCAGAGGGGAGGCCAAGGATCTGACCTTTCTGGATGCTGAAGAGCCCTTGAAAAGCCATGCCACCAGGCATTAAAGGAGCAGGGATGCCACACTGCCAGAGGAGAGAAGGCAGCCCCAAACCGGAAAACTTTTATTTGCTGTACAAAGGTCATCTCCTGCTTCCACACCAGTCCAAGCCTGTGCCCCTGTGCCTGCTCAGGCCTCAGCTCTGGCCCTGCTGCTGCTGTCGCTGCGGATTATTTTCCTCTTCTTCCTGCACTTCCCGTGGTGGCGGGGACGGTTCCTCCTGTCCTGAGGACGACACCAGGAGCTCCCCGGTGGACGCTGCGAGGCGGAAGACCACGGGGATCTGGGCCAGGGCTGGGTTGGTCTCCTGCAGGCCCTGGATCCACTTGGCCAGTGTGGCCTGATCATGGGCACCCGCCATACACATGGCGAAGACAGGGCCTTCCTCCACTGTTGGGAGAGAAAGGCCCTTGGAGTTTGTGCAGTGGCATGCCCACACCCCTTCCAGGTCAAGAGCAGGGGCTTTAAGCTCCCTTTCGGTTTCCTTGTGTATCCAAGTCTTTGCACAGGATATGCACTCTGCTTAAACTACGCATTCCATGCTTCTCCTGTGTGATGCTTCCTGGTTCTTCAAGACTCCATGGTAAAGTCCTCCCACTCCCCACATGAGGCTGGGTGTTATGCTCCTCCTGAGACCCCAAGAATATAACTTGCCTGTTCCCCCACTGGCCCTGTTCTGGTCACACTCAGTAGCCAGCACAGAGGTTCTCCATGACAGAGAAATGACAGGCCTGGTGCCCCTCAGGTGTATGTGTGTACTTGGGCACCTGCTGGGTCTGTGTTTAGTAACTGGTCTGGGTCTTGTCCTGGGCCCCATCCCTCAACCCCACATGCCATACCTCATCCAATGCTGTGTCTGGAGTCCTGCTCATCCCAGTTTTTACCTTCATTGATGTCAAACTCGTAGTCATCCCAGCCGCTTCTCCCATAGTCCAAGTCCAGCTGCATCGGGTAGTAGAGGTTCCATTCCTCTGGAATCTCTTCCACTTCCTACCCCGGGAAGGGGGGATACAGGCAGGGTCAGAGCCCAGGATCTTGCAGCCTCCCCCCTACCATCACCAGGAACTGTCACCCCCACCCCAATCTGTGAGCCCTCACCAGACCTCAGGGCAGTGCCAGCCCACTCCCCACTCATGATTTTGGCCCTTACCCTCTCCTCAGGGGGCACCAAGTCTGCTCTGAGGATGTGGTAGTAGACACATTTGTCACGGAGCCACAGGGAGAAGGGGCCCTCGACGAAGATAGGCCGGGCTGGGTTGTGACGGGCCAGGGCAGCCTGTTGATCGGGAGTCTGGATACCTGGTGTGGCGACACGCATGCCCAAGGGGCCCTGGCTGTGTGGCTTTGTCCAAAGGCCCAGGAAATCCACTCAGCAGGCCCGGTGATAACCCAGCTGCCCTAATCACAGGGACTTACCTACGATATGCTGCTCTGTGGGATCTGTACCTGTGAAGTCTTTGGAGAAAGGCATCTGCAAAGAAAGAGTAGGAGTGGAAGCTTGTGGCCTCCAGACCCTACAGAGGAGCTGGGGATAAATGGGGAAGGAGGGATTCCAGTAAATTTTGGGCTTGTCTACTGGGCCTCTTAATGTCACTCAAGCCCACCCGTCCTCACTTCTATCCAAGTCAGAATAATGGCTGCTACTAACATTTAAGATGCTCACACAGTGGGAACCCTGGAGCCCACCTACCTGTGTTAAAATCTGGGCTCTGCCATAGGCTATGTGGCCACAGCCAAGTTGCTGTACCTATGCCTCAGTTTCTCTGATTCAAATGGGGGTAATAACCACACTCACTTGAGATGGTTCTAAAATGCCAAGAGCAGTGCTTGGCACATAGTAAGTACTCAATGCTTGTGAAACTTAGAAAAAACTTCACACAGAATATTCCAGGAAGGAGACATAAGAAATAAGTCAGTGTTTGCCTCTGGAGGACAGGGAAGGAAGGAATACCCTTTTGTATTTTCTTAATTTCATACTCACTAAATGTGATTCAAAAAACTAAGTGAAACTTAATTTTTTAAAAAGTACGCATACACTTTGACTGAAATATCTGAGAGTGGACAACTGTTGGCACACACATTGTCCATCCATTCAGGTTAAAAATTCAGGTGGGCCGCCCAGCCAGGTGTGGGTGTGGCTCAGTGGTTGAGCATGGACCTAGGATCCAGGAGATCGCGGTTTGATTCCTATCAGGGGCATGCAGAAGGCAGCTGATCAATAACTCTCATCACCGATGTTTCAGCTCTTTCTCCCTCTCTCTTCCTCCCTCTGAAGTCAATAAATATATTTAAAAAAAAAAAAAAAAAATTCAGGTGGGTCTATGGGCACATAGACTGGACCGCCAACCATATTATTAAGTGAAATCAGCAAAAGGCAAGATGCAGAAGGTGTGTAATACTCTGCCACTGGAGAAACACTTTCTTTTTTTAAAATTATATTTCTTGGGGTGACATTGGTTGATAAAATTATACTGTTTTCAAGTGTACAGTTCTATGATACATCATCTGTTTATCACCCAAAGTCAAATCTTTTTTTACCATATATTTGACCTCCTTTAGGAGGAACACTTTTAAAAGTATACTTCTGGAGGTGGAAAAAGTAAATGTTTTGCTCTTGGGCCCTTTTACTGGACAATATATTTATACTGATTTTCCATTTCAAATTTAACACCATGCCTAGCCGGGTAGTTCGGTTGGTTAGAGCATTGTCAGAGCATATACAAAAAACCACCAATGAATGCATAAATATGTGGAACAAATTGATGTTTCTTTCTCTCTCCTTCCCTCCCTCCTTTTTGCTCTCTCAAATCAGTAAATAAGCCCAGCTCACCTTCACCACCTTCAAGAAGTCTTCCTGGTTCCCTGCCCCTTCTGGGCTACCATGGACCCCAGGGCTTCTCTGTCTTAGAACCAGTGGTTCTGAGGGAAACTGTTATCCAGGGTTGGCCTCCATGACCAGACAAATGCTGTGAGGGGCTCTCTTTGGATCCCCTGTGTGGCATAGCATGAGTGGGGCCCTCAGGACATGGGTAGAGGTATGGAATATTTCAGTCATTCAACAAACAACTGCTGAGCTCTGTGACAGACCCTGTGCTGGGCCTTGGGACACGGGGAACTGAATCAGTGATTAAGCAACCAAACTCAGTACAGGGAAGTGGTGGTCAGGAAGGAGACCCTGAGGAAGGGATAGTGGAGCTGAGACTGGAAGAACGAAGTTCCCAGGGAACAGTGTTCCTGACGGAGGGAGCAGTAAGTGTAAAGTGTAAAGATCCAAGGAGGGAACTGGCACAGATTGCTCATGGAACAGAAAGGCAGATGCCTGGGTTATAGTGCATGTGGGGAGGAGGGGAGGAGCAGATGTCAGAGATCAAGCTGCAGTAAGGAGTGAGGGCTACAGGAATCCAGCAGAGGGCTCAGCTTGGAATCATGGTCTACTAGGCTGATTAAAGGGGGTGACCCAGCCCAGGGTGGCAACTAAGGGTATGGACAGGGATGAATACCTGGTAGACGGTGACCCTGGCGCTGAGGTCAGGTTCTATGTGCCGCAGGCCCAACTTGGCCAGGTCCACGGGGTCCTGGGGCAGGTCTTGGGGTACGGGGAAGGGGTTGATGTTCTTGAAGCGGGAGAACCACAGCTTCATGCGCACGAACTTGAGCATAGGGTAGCTTTTGCGCCCAAATATCTGAACCAGCAGGAACTCTGTCTCCTTGTTGGGCATCACCCCTGTGCCAGGTGGATGGCAGCAGAAACTCAGGAAGGGAGCAGAGAGGGGAGACATGGAAGACAGAGACCAGTGGAGGGGCCAGGACCAAGAGGAAATTATGGCAAGGACCAGATGGAAAGAGCCAGAGACAGGAAGAGTAGAAGTCAGGGAATTGATGCCAGAGAGAAAGGACAGAATCCGATAGAATTTAAAGGAAAAGCCAGAGGGAGAGAGGAAAGACAAGAGCCAGACAGAGAGATTGAAAGAGAGGGGGAGGGGGAGCAGGCCAAAGAGAGAGGACACACATCAGAGCCCTAGAGCAATGGAGGGGCCCAGACCCAGCAGTGGGAGGCAGCCACTCCTCCACCCTGAGCCTGCTGGCCTCACCATGGTTCTCCATCTGCTCCAGGATAGCAATCCCACACTCCTGCTGCCGTGGGTAGTGGATGAAGATTTTCTGGAAGACGCTACGAGGCCGGAAGACCTCCTTGGGGAAGACGTCAAGCAGCAGGTTATAGACAGCCAGGTCCTTTTCAACGCCGTACTCCCGCATCTTGCGCAGGGCTAGGTAGATGAAGTCAACGTGGCCCCGCTTGTGCACACTGTGCTGCCCGAAGTTCTGCACGGCTCGCACAAAGCTGGCCTTGTCCCGGACACAATCTGGTGCCTGCCTAAACAGCTCTTCATGAGGTGACAGGGCCTTGGCGGGCCCCCGTGGGGGCTCAGGTGGGCTCGGGACCAGAGATGAGTCAGAGCTGTGGGTGGCTGCACTGCAGTGTAGGCCTCGAGGGGCCTGGCAGGGTACCTGGGGACAGAGAACCACTGCTGGAATCTGGTCTCCCAGTGCCGCTTGGGGACTTTCAGGCTTGCTCTTCCTGGGAAAGGTGCCAGTGGGCATCCCTAAGGGCCTCTCAGGAGTTATGCTGTGGTTACAAACCCAAGATCAGGCACCATTACAGACTATGAGAACACAATGGTAAAAC